ATACTGCAAACCCTAATATCTAAATCTATTTAAAAAGCTCTTTGAATTAATTGTTTAAAATATTTATAAATTTATAAGAAAAAACACAACAACTAACAAAACTCTACTACATATTTTTTATACTAATTATAAAGAAGGAAAAATTTAACGAAAGTAATAAGGAAAATCCTTAAAGGAAAGTTAAAACGAGAAAGAGTAAAGTTAAGTTGAAATTTAAGTTTATATAAATGAATATACTTTTAAAAGCAACAGCATCTTTTTAACAAAACAAAAAGTAAAGAAATTAGTTTAAAACTAATAAACAACACTTAAGAAAGGCAAAAGTGAAAAACATAAATTATAAAAAAATTACTCACATTTACTCCTCTAATGTCTCGTATTTGCAGTAAGAAAACAAACATTTAAAAAATATTAATTAGAGGCTTTAATTTGTACTTTGTTATTTCTCTCTTTTTTTTATAAAAAAAACTCTCTGTTTTTCAAACTTTATATTCTATATGAAACAAGAAAATAGAAAAAGAGAGTTGTATATTAAACTTGTGATATGGTGCTTTTTTCTAATCTAATTTTAAAAAAACATTATGTTTCCATTTTTTACAAAAAAGCACAAAAAATTTGTTAAAAAAATATTAATAAAAACACTGAAAAAAAGTAAAGACCTCAAGTATAAAAAGAAAAATTGTGAAAAAAAAACTAATAAAATCTATAAAGAATAGAATTGTGCCATGGTTAAAGAAAAACTTTTTAAAAGTTTATTTTATTCCAAGAAATGTACTAAAAATCATTCTTAAAAGAACTTTTTTTAGAAAAAGGAAAAAAGCCTAAAAAATTAACAACAAGTCCCTTTTATAAAACAAGGACTGTTAGTAAAGGCAGTGATTTTTTTCTCTAAAAATGTGGCAATATTTAACTGCTTTTATTAAGGTTCTTAAAATTTATTATTTAACTCGTAATTTAAAGTTATTAACTTTTAAAAAAACTTCCACTTTCTTAAGAAATTAAAAACAAATAATTCCTCCATAAATTAAATATGAAAAACTAAGCTTAAATACCGTTTCATAAAGGAAAATCTAAGATTTTCCTCCAGAAACTCTAATTAGAAGAATTATTAACTCGGTCAACTGTGATATGAAGCAAAGAAAAGGGATCTTTTAAAATCATCCACTTTCATTCCCTTCAAAAGCAATTAGTTAAGAATTGCATTATATTTAACCTAAAGAATGGTCTGAATGGTCCTTCGAACCCTAAATGATTAGTGTTAAAATCTTTATCAAGTTGTAGTCTTTTGTTAACATCAATGATTTAAACATATATATGAAACTAAACACAATTTGAAGCCGAAAAAAACTATAAACTCAAAATGGCCCTTCGAACCTGAAACACAATTTTTAGGGAAAATAGTACTAGGGACACAATTTTAAGCAGGAAAAGCATTAAACATAAAATGGTCCTTCAAAACTCAATCTGATGCAGAAAAAGTCTTAAACATAAATCAACAAAAATCACAAAATTAACATAAAATCACAAATTTAAACATAATTTGAAGCATAATAGTCCTAGCAGAATAAGTCTTAAACATAAAATGGTCCTTCGAACCTTAAAAACAATTCGAAATATAAAAAGTCTTAAACGTAAAATGGTCCTTCGAACCGTTAACACTATTTGAAGCAAAAGAGGATTTAAACTTAAAATGATTCTTCAAAACTTAAGCACAATTTGAAGCAGAATAGTCCTAGCAGAACAAATCTTAAACATAAAATGGTCCTTCGTACCTTTAACTCAATTTGAAGCAGAAAAGGGTTTAAACCTTTAACTCAATGCGAAGCAAAATAGTCCTTGCAGAAAAAGTCTTAAACATAAAATGGTCCTTCGAACCTTTAAAACAATTCGAAGTATAAAAAGTCTTAAACGTAAAATGGTCCTTCGAATCTTTAACACTATTTGAAGCAAAAGAGGATTTGAACTTAAAATGGTTCTTCAAAACTGAAGCACAATTTGAAGCAGAATAGTCCTAGCAGAAAAAGTCTTTAACAGAAAATGGTCTTTCGAACCTTAAACACAATGGTCCTTCGAACCTTTAACACAATTTGAAGCAGAAAAGGTTTTAGTTAAATTTTTAACTCTTCTAAACAGTTGACTGAGTATAAAATTCTTCTTTAAATTCTTAAAAGAAATCACTACAATAAAAAAGCCAACCATTATTAAAAAAAAACTTTAAATGTATTTATTAAGTTAAGTTTAATTTCTTATTAATTTTTAATACAAATCAAAAAATATATATATTTATAAAACTACAACAACACATTACCCTAAAATAAACTATAAAACTTTAAAAATTTTAAACTTAATCGCCCCTAAGAAACCAAAAACCAACTACAACTCCATACAAAACGAACAAAACTCAAAACGTTTCGTAGCGAAACTGCAATTTCTAATTTTGTTTTTGTTTAACAAAAAGAATATTCTATTAAATGAAAAAAAAAAAGTTGTTTTGTTTGTTTAGAATTAAAAAAAAAGATCTTATAAAGTGTGTTAAAAAAAAACAGTAAACAAATTATTAAAAATATTTATTAACAATTTTAAGTTGCTTTAACAATATTGGAAAATAATTTTTGTTTAAATTTTGAGTTTTCTAACTCCAAAAATTTTTACTTCATTAAAAGAACAAACATTTTAAGATCTTAAACAAACAAATGTTTGAAACGTTATAAAATAAAAACACAAAAAAAAACATTAAAAATTAAAATAAAATATCTATAAAAACAAACACAAAAAAATATATATTGTTTTATACCTTAAAAATTATATGGATAAAAAAGAAAAGAAAAGTAAAATAAAAGGAAAAGAAAAGGAAGAAAGAACTATGTTGGGCAGCAAGTATAAGAAGTTATAAAATATATGAAAAAACAACAAAAAAAAAACTCAATAAAGTAAAAAAATATTAAAAAAAAAGAAATTTGTTTTATTCTGTAGGATCAAATGAAAACAATAATATAAAACAATAAATTAAATAAGAGGGCGTGGCAGTAGAAGGAAAACCTGCAGACTAATAAATAGCTGAATAAGAATTATATTATATGCAGAAAATTTCGTTTTAATATTTTAAATAGTTTAGAAGTTCTAGGCCTTTAAAGACAAAATAAAGTTTTTGGTTTTTAGCAAATATCTCTTAAGTTTTACAAGAATTTCTAAAGAAATTTGTCACACATATAAAGAAGAAAAAGAGCTTTCGATTTATGATTAAAAGTGATTTGCCACGCCCACTTTTCTACCAAATTAATGTAATCAAAGATTAAATCAATAATATTATAAAGTGGGCGTGGCAGTTGGTAGAAAATTTGCTAATCATCTGAAAGCTGAATTAGACTTCATTAATGTAAAGAAAATTTCGTTTTAATATCTGTAGTAATATAGGAGTTATAGGCTTTTAAAGAATACTATTAGCACCTCATCGCCCACTTTTTTGATAAAAAAGCTTTTTTGTGTTTAGGCAATATATCTTAAGTTTTACAAGATTTCCTAAAGAAATTTGTCTTACATATAAAGAAGAACAAAAGCTATCGATTTACAGACAAAATTGTTTGCCACGCCCACTTTTCTACAAAATACAAGCGTTTGAAAAATAAATCTACAAAATTATAAAGTGGGCGTGGCAGTTGGAGGAAAAATTAACAAAATCAAAAAGCCGAATTTGAACTCTATCATAAACAGAAAATTTCGTTTCAATATCTTAAATATGTAGTTTAGAAGTTCTAGCTTGTTAAAGAAAACTATAAACAGCACACTGCCTACTTTTATAGAGCCTTAAAACAATTTTGATTAAATTAAAATAACTGCCTTAATTTTAGAGATATGAAACTAAAATTTTATACGAACATAAATTAAGATATAAGCTTTCATTTCTAGTAAAAATAATTTAATAACGAATAACCACAGAGAAATTATTCAAGTTTGAAGTATATATGTACATAATACTCAAAGTGGGCGTGGCATATAAGCTCAAACATGCGATTTTCAAAAAGACCAATTCCTATTCTACCATATAGAAAAACTTTCATTCAAATATCTGCTCTAGTTTAGGAGTTATAGCGTTTTGAAGAAAACTATTAGCAGGAATCCACCTACTGCACGATTTTGTTCTCCTAGTAATTCATAAAAATTTTAGAAATTTCAAAAATTGCAAAAATGTGGTTAAAAGCAATTTTTTGTTTTTGAGGGATAACTCCTAAGTTTTAGAAGATTTTTTGATGAAATTTGGCATACATATAAAGTAGAAATTGGGCTTTTGATTAGTAAACCGAAAATTTTGCCACGCCCACTTTTCTAACATCTACAACAGTTTAAACTTTAAATTGGATATTAAACAAGTGGGCGTGGCAGTTGGAGAAAAATTTGCTAGCCATCAAAAAGCTGAGTTTGTAATCTATCACATACAGAAAATTTCAGTATAATATCTCTACAACCAAAGGAGTTATTTGAATTTAAAAATTACCTTTCATTGCCTTAATAAAAGTGGGCGGTAATAGCTGACAGTTTTCTTTAATAGGCTATAACTCTTAAACTACTTAAGATATTTTAGTGAAATTTTCTTTATATAATAGAGTTCGAATTCGGCTTTATGATTTTAAGCAATTTTTATTACTAATGCCACGCCCTCTATTTAAAATTTTCAATTTTGTTTTTTAAACTCTTCAATGCTATAACTGTCGGAACTTAAGTTATTACTCTACTCCCTTAAAATAAAACAAAATAATTTTGTTTATTTTTTTCTAAATTATAATTTGTTTATTTTAATTTATAGTTTACAATATAATTTTACAAATTCTTTAGTTTTGTTTTGTTTTAACATTTAAATAGATATTTATAATTTAAAATATTAACTAACTTAATACAATGTTTGTTTTGTTATAAACATATTTTAGTTAAAGGTAATTTTATTTATTTATAAACTATACATAACTTAATAATTAAGTTTGTTGTTGTTTGTTTTCAGTTATAGTTTGGTTTAGTTTAAAAATGTCTTCTATAAAATACATAAAAATATAACAAAATGTGATAATTGATAAAAATATAAAATTAAAAACAATTTGCGACATTTCACATTGATTTACAAATAAATTTTACACACAAATTGATATGACTTACGAACTAATAAAAACAGTTTTAACTTTTAGCATCATCATCAACATAGAATATTATTACACATTTTTTTTTTATATTTTTTAAAAATAAATTACAAACTTAATTTAGTAATTCATAAAAATAATTACTTTTTTTTAATAAAATTATTATAATTCTTTGTTATTATTTATCTATTTAATGTATAAACAATGTAATTTAACTATTTACGTATAGAATTCAACTTAAATGATTCCTGCTTATTGACTTCGTTAGTCCTTGGAAGAATCTGTAGTAGGTGAAGACTTTGGACTTAAATTATCATCTGAAGCAGATGTTGCTGGAGGTGGTGGTGATATGGAACGTTTTCGGTTGGTTGGTGGTGAAGGTGAATGATTTCGATGAGATGGTGGTGAAGGTGATTGATTTCTTCTGGTGGGTGGTGGTGTTGGATGTATTTTATGTTGTATATTTTCCATTTCTAATGTCAGAGCAATTGTCTGAATTCGATAGAGCTGAATCCATTGAGGTGACTGTCATATTGACCTGTTTATCACTGCAATCCTGGGGCAACAGTAGAGGCCGTTCTACAGCCGATTTTTCCACATCGTTGGGATCACTGTCTTTTAATTGATTTTGCACAACGAAACTGTTGCTATTGATGTCTTCCGATGGCTTTGCGCAACTGGAAAGAGAGAAGGTAAGGGAAATTTTATTTTTTATGGAGGACAAAACTGAATTAGTTAGGAAACGACTAGGCTAAAGATTAGATTAAATAGACTAGGCATAGACCAGACTATAGACTAGACTATAGACTAGATTATAGACTAGACTATAGACTAGCCTATAGGACTAGACTATAGACTAGACTATAGACTAGACCTATAGACTAGACTATAGACTAGACTATACGACTAGACTATAGGACTAGACTATAGACTAGACTATAGACTAGACTATAGACTAGACTATAGACTAGACTATAGACTAGACTATAGACTAGACTATAGACTAGACTATAGACTAGACTATAGACTAGACTATAGACTAGACTATAGACTAGACTATAGACTAGACTATAGACTAGACTATAGACTAGACTATAGACTAGACTATAGACTAGACTATAGACTAGACTATAGACTAGACTATAGACTAGACTATAGACTAGACTATAGACTAGACTATAGACTAGACTATAGACTAGACTATAGACTAGACTATAGACTAGACTATAGACTAGACTATAGACTAGACTATAGACTAGACTATAGACTAGACTATAGACTAGACTATAGACTAGACTATAGACTAGACTATAGACTAGACTATAGACTAGACTATAGACTAGACTATAGACTAGACTATAGACTAGACTATAGACTAGACTATAGACTAGACTATAGACTAGACTATAGACTAGACTATAGACCTATAGACTAGAACTATAGACTAGATAGACTACTATGACTAAGACTAAGAACTAGACTATAGACTAGACTATAGACTAGAATTATAGGACTAGACTATAATAGACTAATAGACTAGAATAGACTAGACTATAGACTAGACTATAGACTAACTATAGACTAGATATGACTAGACTATAGCTAGACTACGGACCTAGACTAGCTATAGACTAGACTATAGACTAGACTATAGACTAGACTATAGACTAGACTAGACTATAGACTAGACTATAGACTAGACTATAGACTAGACTATAGACTAGACTATAGACTAGACTATAGACTAGACTAGACTATAGACTAGACTATAGACTAGACTATAGACTAGACTATATAGTTTAGACTACAAACTATACTGTAGATTAGACTATAGATAAAATGTAGAGTAGACTATAGACTAGACTATAGATAAGACTATAGACTTGAGTATAGACTAGACTAACTCATAGTACTAAATCAGTTTCACAATTATCTAAAGAAACTAAAAAATTAAAATTCTTACCTCTTTAAGACCAACCACACCCACTAAACGGCCATTTTGGTGACATAGGCATGATTGATGCCGACCATAGAGAACAGGGAATGAACTTTGAGTATGGAAGTACGTTCGACCAATTGAAATGGCGATGGATCGATATGTACATTGGCTTTTTCCAAATCAATAGGCTTTTGCATTTCTTCCATTTCCCATTTCTTTTGATCTTCCGGTGACATATCGATGACACGTTCTCGAGGCTAAAAAGTTAGATAATAAGAAAATAATATGAATAGGGTAATATAAATCCCCTAAAAGGGATAAAAAGTTAAAGTTATAACAGCTCTGTGAAAATATTTGTAATAACTTCAACTTTAAATCCCTGAAACTTTGTTATTAAGTCAAATCTTTTGTAGAACCCACATACCAATCTAACTTTTTTAATACTGCTTTTATAGGACTATATAACAATTTTACACATTATATACATACAGTTTGTTTTAAATGAATGACAGTAGAAAAAGAGAGAGAGAAAAAAAGAAAGAAAGAGAAGACAAAATATACATTAAAATGTGTGATCTACATAAAAACCAGAACCATTAATATAAATAAAATAATTAGTTAAAACAAAACAATTTCAACAGCATTTCTCAAAGCACCTACCATAGCATCATCATGGCACTTTAAATCTTGACTTCCCATCAAACTCTTTTCCTTTTCAAACTGCAGCATGCATTTAGGGGAAAAAAGCAAAGTTTTAAAAACAAAACCTACCATTTTTTCACATTTTTCAATATCAATTTTAAACAAATTCTTCTACTCCACCTACCTCCTCTAGAGGCTTTTCGGTACCACCTTTTTCCTTATTAGTCAAATGTATATCAGTTTTACTTTCATTTACATTTTCATTCTCTTTTTCTAAATTCCCTTTTTCATTAACTATTTCCAAGGCTCCCCTATGATTGGGCATTTGTTGTGTAGGCTTGGCCTCATCCAATTGTTGAGCTTGTTTCAGAATAGTTTTCAGATTATCATGTTTCTTTAGAATTGTTTTAATCGAAGGTTTATTGATCTGATTCTCTTTTGTATTCTCTAATACTTTAGCGTCAAATTCTGCCTCTGAAAGATTGTGATAGTAAGCATCTTTACTAATTTTGCGATTTTTCAATATTGATCTTAAGGGCTGCAATTCGACTGTAGTTTCGGTAGGAATTTCTTCGTTTGCAGTATTGAGCTTTTTATTTTTGGCATTTGTTTTACTTTGATCGTGAATTCTTCTCCATTTGGAAGTGAAAGATTTGGTGGTGGTTAAATGATTTAAATGGAGTTTTTCTTGTTGTTTCGGCTGAGTACCGCCAGGTACTTGCTTGCAAATATTTGATTTTGCAATTAAAATTTTCAATAAATAACATTAATTAATGCATCGGAGGAATGAAATAATGAGTACTAAATCATTTTCTGTGGAACATTTTTAGTACTACAGAAAATTTCTAGTATTAAAGGTTCTTCCATAGAAATGGACTAGAACTGAACTAGGACTGAACTAAAACTGAACTAGAACTAAACTCGAACTGAACTAGAACTGAACTAAACTGAACTAGAACTGAACTAGAACTGAACTAGAACTGAACTAGAACTGAACTAGAACTGAACTAGAACTGAACTAGAACTGAACTAGAACTGAACTAGAACTGAACTAGAACTGACTAGAACTGAACTAGGAACTTGAACTAGAACTGAACTAGAACTGAAACTAGAAACTGAACTAGAAACTGAACTAGAAATGAAATAGAACTGAACTAGAAACGAACTAGAACTGAACTAGAACTGAACTAGAACTGAACTAGAAGCTGAAACTAAGAACGGAACTAGAACTGAACTAGACTGAACTAGAACTGAACTAGAATGAAATAGAATGACGAGAACTGACTAGAACTGAAACTAAGAACTTGAAACTAGAACTGAACTAGACTGACTGAACTGAACTAGAACTGAACTAGAACTGAACTAGAACTGAACTAGAACTGAACTAAATGAACTGAACTGAACTAGACCTGAACTAAGAACTGAACGAGAACTGAACTAGAACTGAACTAGAACTGAACTAGAACTGAACTAGAACTGAACTAGAACTGAACTAAACTGAACTAGAACTGAACTAGAACTGAACTGAACTAGAACTGAACTAGAACTGAACTAGAACTGAACTAGAACTGAACTAGAACTGAACTAGAACTGAACTAGAACTGAACTAGAACTGAACTAGAACTGAACTAGAACTGAACTAGAACTGAACTAGAACTGAACTAGAACTGAACTAGAACTGAACTAGAACTGAACTAGAACTGAACTAGAACTGAACTAGAACTGAACTAGAACTGAACTAGAACTGAACTAGAACTGAACTAGAACTGAACTAGAACTGAACTAGAACTGAACTAGAACTGAACTAGAACTGAACTAGAACTGACTAGAACTGAACTAGAACTGAACTAGAACTGAACTAGAACTGAACTAGAACTGAACTAGAACTGAACTAGAACTGAACTAGAACTGAACTAGAACTGAACTAGAACTGAACTAGAACTGAACTAGAACTGAACTAGAACTGAACTAAACTGAACTAGAACTGAACTAGAACTGAACTAGAACTGAACTAGAACTGAACTAGAACTGAACTAGAACTGAACTAGAACTGAACTAGAACTGAACTAGAACTGAACTGAACTGAACTAGAACTGAACTAGAACTGAACTAGAACTGAACTAGAACTGAACTAGAACTGAACTAGAACTGAACTAGAACTGAACTAGAACTGAACTAGAACTGAACTAGAACTGAACTAGAACTGAACTAGAACTGAACTAGAACTGAACTAGAACTGAACTAGAACTGAACTAGAACTGAACTAGAACTGAACTAGAACTGAACTAGAACTGAACTAGAACTGAACTAGAACTGAACTAGAACTGAACTAGAACTGAACTAGAACTGAACTAGAACTGAACTAGAACTGAACTAGAACTGAACTAGAACTGAACTAGAACTAGAACTGAACTAGAATTGAACTAAAACTGAACTAAAACTGAACTAAACTAGAACTGATCTTGAACTGAACTAAGTTTCTTTTATTGATTAAAAAATTAAATGTTAAAAGGGTAACATGCAGTTTATTTCTAAAACAATTACCATAGATTCAGTTGTAATATCTGATCCCTCAGATGAGCTTTGTGCTTGCTTTATAATTATTATTAAAAAGAAGTTTTATTAATATTTAAACAAAACACAAATTTGAATAAAAAGAGAAATATTTAAAAAGTTATTAAAAATATCAACAAAAATCATGCAAAACCACAACCAAAAGCAAACAAAAAAATAAATAAATAAAAATTTAAAGCATTACAAAACTTACCAATTGAACTTTTTTCGATATGCCCGGTGTACTTGGTGTCCTATGCACCGACGGAGTACCCGGTGTCATATCGCCCGCACTAGTGGCGGCCGATATATTGCCCGCATCTCCTGCGGCCGGTTGAACATCTTGCAAGGTGGTTGATTTCTTAAATATCGCCTCAAAGGCATTGCGTATGCGGTATTCGGTACCAGTTATTGTGGTATATGGCGTTATGTTGGGACTGTGTAATGAGGTAGGTGCGAAGGCTTTAAGATTAAAGGAATTTGTCTTTTTTAAAATCGATTTGCGAGGCTGTAAAGTATTATTTAAAGATTCTTGTTTCTTTTTGGGCGGTAACATTTCATCGTTGGCTATTTGACGCAAACTAATAATATCGGGAGCAGGCAGCACCTCAAAACGTGAGGGACGTCTCATTTTTTGTTCAGCTTCAAGTTTCTTGCGCTCCTCTTCGCGGGCTCTTTCCTCGGCTTCCTTATGCCATTTTTGTGCCATTTCCATGCGTTTCTCGCGGCCAATATGTTTCTCTATCATTTTAATGAGTTCATAACGTTGTACGGAACCCAGTAAGATCATATTATCTGGATTATCTACCAAGGGCAGGGAACGTAAGGTTTTATTGGCTTTTAAAACTTCTTTGAGTTTTTGATATGTAATATTCTGCCAGATGTACTTGACATCACGCACCATGAAATCTTCTACATATATGCTGTACATGCCCGAGGAAGAGGGCAATAAATCGGGCAGATAGGGCAATTTTTTAATTAAAATAATGCTATCATACATGGACGGTTGCAGAAGAGCAGCTATGGCATTGGAAATTAGCACAGCTATCATAACAGGCACCACATGAGTTATCTGACCAGTCATTTCGAACACTATCACCGCTACAGAAACGGTATGGGTAACAGCTCCTGAGAAAGCGGCTGCCCCCACAACAGCATAACCCCCTGGGATTATAGGTGAAAGACGGCCACCATAGCGCACACCTGAGGGGAACCACAGATGCATACTTTCACCTATTAAACGTCCCAGACCGGCACCAATTTTGAACACGGGAATAAAAATACCCGAGGGCACTGGTATGGTGGAAGCCACAATGGAAAATAGAAACTGAGAGAATAAGATAGGTTTTAGTTGATTGAAGAAATTGAAATATTTGAGGTTATAATTACCGTGAATAGCACATAACAGGATAAGTTGATGAAAACATTTGTGTAGGGTGTCATCCAATGCGTGACAATGGCTGCCTGTTCCACCGTTAAATAATCCTGACTCCAAGTAAAATTGCTAAACAATTGTGTGACCTGTTCGTGAGTGCCCAATTCACCGGCAATAAATTGTCCGGTGCCCAATGGAAAGGATAGAGTTGAAACCAATAAAGCCAAGAAACCGGGATATAAAAAGCGACTGTAAAATGAAATTGGAGGAATAAAAGATAAATTTTGATCTATAATTTTTTATAAAAAATTTTTAGTACTGATTTTTTTTAAGGAAATTTTTTAGAATTAATTTTTCATATAGAAAAATTTTTAGTACTAAATTTTTTAGTACTAAATGTTTTTCTGTAGAAAATTTTTAGTACCAAAGTTTTTCTATAGAAAATTTTTAGTACTAAAATTTTTTCTATAGAAAATTTTTAGTACTAAATTTTTTTAAATCGAAAATTTTCAGTACTAAAAAGCTTTTTTTTATAAGCTATAGAAAATTTTTAGCACTAAAAGAGTTTTTACAGAAAATTTTTAGTACTAAAAGTTTTTCTATAGAAGAGTTTTAGTACTAAAAGTTTTTTTATAGAACATTTTTAGTACTAAAAGTTTTTCTATAGAAAAATTTTAGTACTAAATGTTTTTCTGTAGAAAATTTTAGTACTAAAAGTTTTTTATAGAAAATTTTTAGTACTAAAAGTTTTTCTATAGAAAATATTTAGTACTAAATGTTTTTCTGTAGAAAATTTTAGTACTTAAAGTTTTTCTGCAGAACATTTTTAGTACAAAATTTTTAAGTAATTTTTTAGTACAAATATTATTTACAAACAATTTTTAATAAATTTTATTTCTATAGAAATTTTTAGTACAAAATTTTTTACTACGGAAAATTTTAGTACAAAATTTTTTATAGTAAATTTTTGGTACAATACTTTTTTTCTTTAGTTTCAAAGTTTTTAGACCTCTCTAGTACTAAAACTTAATCTTCAGCAAGTTTTAGTACTAAGAGTTTTTTTTTTTAGTAAATTTGAGGATTTTCTAATTCTACTTACTTTTTCTGCAAAAATTTATTCATTTTCTTATTTGAACGCATAAATAACACATAACGGCGATGGACCCAAACATAAGCAGCACCGCCCAAACCACAAACAACACTAAAACATAAAAAAGTGCGAAAATATAAAAAAAATCTTTAGAAAAAAGTACCAACGTATACAAACTTACCCCATTAAAGCGAATACAAATAATTCCTGAGGATCAAAAGGAAATTCGGTGGTGAAATTGGTTAAAAATACCGCACGCACTGTATCGGCATTTTGAAACCAAACGGCCAATAAGCGAAAAACGGTAGCACCACAAACGGCCGCAAAGAAACCACGCCAATAATTGCGCACGGCAAAATAAGTTGTAGTTACTTCTATGCTAAATAAGACACCTTTAATGTAACAAAAAAGATGTTTAGTACAAAGAAAACTTCATGGAAATTCTGAACTCACCTCCTACGGGTGCTGCAAAACAAGCGCCCACACCCACCGCACAGGCGGCTGCCAACATTTCTGAATTACGCGATTCATTTTCATAGATACCTTGGAATGATGTTACTAGCTTACTTAATAATTGTGCTACAATACTTGCTATATGTACGAATGGACCCTAGAAGTTTAATGGAATGTTTGATGAGTTATTCACGTACGTAATCATTAACATTTATTGCAGTAAATTATACTTTTTTGAGAGCAAATGTGCAAGAGAATTTACCAATTTCAATACTTACTTCCTTTCCTAATGGCATACCACTGCCCAAAGTTGCCGTTAAACCAACAATTTTGGCCACTAATGTTTTAAATGTTAAATATTCTTTTAGGGCCACACCACGTAAAATTGTTTTCATTTCGGGTATACCGGAACCTAGTTAACAGAAAATTGGATTGGATATTTTACAAGTTTAACATGAACAATAAAAAAAACCTTTAAAACTAAATCAAAACAATTGCATGCAATTTGTTAGTAGGCTTAATAATAAATTCCGGGGCATACTTTTAGGCTTATGAATAAATAGAAAAATAACGTTTGTAATTCCTGTAAATTTCATATTACTGAAAATGTAATGATGTTTTAGTGGCAACAATGTATGGCATCATTGTTTAAAGTTTGAAACAGTGATGTCAATCTTGCGGCTAAACATTTGTTTTGTTGCAATATTACAGCGTTTAAGAATGTTATTCAACTTATATTATAAAGTATAGCTAAAAGTAATTAATAAATTTAAATTTCCAAGGGTTAGTAAGTTAGTTTATTGTATAAATTGTTCGATTTAACAGTTCTGAAAATATATATTTAAATGTGTAAATAATTTTATGGTAATATGTAGATTCGTCATTTAGGTTTCGGAATGGTTCGTTTTAAGAGATTATTTATATTGGAACGAAACGTGTAAATGTACATTTTATAAACAATTGTGCATTTTTAAACTTTATCTCGAAAACTATTAATCCAGATTTGAATTCATTGCTGCTCAATCCTTAAGAAATGTTATACATACATATATACCTTTTTATATATACATAGTTCTTAAATCCAATAATATTTGGCCTAATTTGAAATCAACCATGGTGGCCATATTACGTTTATTTGTATTATTAATTTATGGCAACTCTGCGTTACAGAGGTGATTTTTTACAGTCTATTTATAATTTAGTTTGAACAATTCTTTTCAATAATAATTCCAAAATATTAGTAATTTGAAATATGCATAACCATTAAAGTAAAGTAAGTAAGTAAAAAAATTTAGTAATTTATAAATTTGTTAAAAAAGAAAAACAAATATGATTAGATTAAAAACAAAACTAAAATTTTAACAAAAAAAAAAAACTAATTACAAACAAATCCAAACCAAACTAAATTACTTTACTTAAATGATTTTAAAATAAAAAATAACTAATTTATAAATAAATACAAATAAATTATAGAAAAAATTCCAACTTACCTATACTTTGTGGTGCTATTAAATGTACAAAACCAGCAGAAAATAAAATCAAACAGACGGGCAGGGAAACCCAGGCAAAATATTGAGCTATAGGTTGTGAGGTTAGATCGCGATATAACCAAACACGAGCTAGTTTGTAAAAAAAAAAGAGTTTTCATTAACAATTTACTTTATTTTTTAAGCGACTTTCTTTCTTTTTTACTTACCACTGGTACATATTGAAATGCCCTTGTCCATGACATACGATAGCAGGGCCATTATAATGCCTAATAATGCTAAAAATACCCAATCTTCTCCGAGACGGGCAAATGTATGTTTCCATATCCATGATGTTACTTTAAATGCACGTGATTTGCGTTTACCTAAGAGTTCCTGAAAGTATTTCCCAGTTCTGCTACTTTATAATCAATTTGTTTTAATTTAATTTTTATTTTTTTTTTAATATACACAGAGAGAAAAAATAATTAAAGAAATAAAGAAAGAAATGCTGGTAGCAATAGTATGACATTTAACAGGATAGAAATAAAGCGATTTTAGTAAAAGTTGGTATCGAAAAGTCGATGTTAAAAAAATTCCAAAACTCAACTATTTTGAAATTATAAAAAATAGAAAAATAGACTTTTCATAAATTGCAAAAAGTAGACTTTTCACAGATTGTTAAAATTTGGAAATTTTAGGACAAAATAGTCGACTTCGACAAGTCAATCATTCGAAAGTCTAGTTATAAAGCTATTATAATATAAACAAACTTTATTAGGGCTGCCAGATCGTTTTAAAGAAAAATGTGCTAATTTGGCGACTTTTGTTATCAGAAATTCGAGTTTTCGACTTTTTTCGACAAGTCGAACATTTGAAAGTCTATTTATTATAAAGCTATTAATACAAACAAACTTTAATAGGGCTGCCAGATCATTTTAAAAGAAAAATGTGCTAAATTGGCGACATTTGTTATCAGAAATAATATAAATTTTGTAAGTGATTAGGGTTTTAATAGAGAGGGCTCATTCTAGCGACATTTTTCCAGTTTTTTACTTTTAAATTTAAGAAATTTTGGTTGGAAATCTCAAAAATTTAGAAATCTTTTCTTAATTAGAAATTTTTTAGTAAATAGTGGTAATATTATTGAAAATAAAAGATTATTATTAAAATGATTGATTTTGTGACCCATAACATGTAAACAATGAACAGATGTTGCATTCAAAATCAACTACTGTGAATGAATTGTTCACAGCAAGTTTACGATAACACTTTCCCCTTCGATTGGAATGAAAATTTAAAGGGAATAAAAATTTTACTTCAATTGGCGATAGAGGTGATTGTGTTTCTTCTCGCGAGTGAAAACAAACATAATGCCACTGTGCTGCCAGATAATTTGGCAGAGAAAATAAGCAAATTTAGCGATTTTTATAATAAAAAAGTTCTTTTTAAAAAATAAGTAAATTATTGCTATAGATTATCATACAAACAATGTTTTAAAGAATTAAATTATATTGTGGAAGGTTTTGGGAGTAATAGTTCTCCTCAAAAAATCGCTTTATTTCAACACTGTTTCTATTAAACCACAAACGCAATTGAAATATTTATTTAAAATAAAATAATATTAAACTTAACTAGTAAATATAAACTACTAGAACTAAAAAAAATTCTAATAATTCCTAACTTTTTTATTCTAAAGAAATAAATATCAGCTGTATAAATTTACTTTATAAATGACTTTGAAATAAAAATATAAATATTTAGTTTAAATATTAAGCTAATTTTACAAATAAATATTTAATGCAAGTTTTACTTTAATATTTAAAAAAAAGAAATCTACTACGTCATTTTAATAATGATATTATTTTATATTTATTTTGTATATGTTTACCTTAAAAATATTGTTTACTTATTGTTTATATAATTTTTTAAATATTATTTTTTTTGTTTAATCCAGTGTTTGTTTAAAAGAAAAGTTGTTTATAGTGAAAGAGGGGTAAATAGGAAATTAATAGTATTCTTATTTACAACTTACCTTATTCCTCTGTTTGTCCTCCAATTTTCGTCGTTTTTCAAGTAATTTGAGTTTTCTGGCTTCATCTTTGGCAAATTCTCCTAAATCTTTGGTATAACGGCCATACATCTATATAAAAATTATTGAAAACAATTTATTATTAAATATGTTATTAGAAATGATTATAAAATTAAATAGTTTTCATCAGAAACTATTATCTATTAATAGAAAAATTATTAAAATTTAAGTTGAAAAGAAATTACTTTAGAATTTCTTTTTATAAATTGAAAGTAATAAATTTCTTGTTTTATGAGTTTTCAATATGAACAATATAATAAAAAGGAAAATGTTTTAATAATTTATTGATAATATAGAAAAAGTAAAACCCAGCAAAATGTTTAAACAAGAATTTAAATAAATATTTAAAACTATAGAAGAAAAGCACAGTGTTTTCTTAATAAAGTGTGGCATCCTAAAACTGTGATGCCATACTTGTATTTTCTTACGCTATGCTGCAGTGTTGTTTATTATTATTATTTAAATCTGGCAAATCAAATTCTAGTTATACTATAATCAGCTTAAATAGCTATATAATATTTATATATATATTTTTTTTAAATTTCAAAACTTTATTTAGTAAATCTATACTTATCAATATATCGGGTTAATGAACATTTAAATCACATACATTTCTTTTTGCAAACAAAACTTACTCATTCTCAAACTCGAACATAAAATCACCCAATTGCTTTTTCCCAATTTACTTCTGTTGCTATCAGCATCAAATAGGAACTGAGCAATATTTGTGTTTATGAATTTCTTATAAATATACTACATATGTATGTATGTAGCAGACAGCAGACGTCATTAAATGACATTGAAAAAGATTTTAATTTAAAAATAATTTTGCACATAAAAAAAACTGAAAATCCAGCATATCTTAATTATTTTGTTAAAATCTGCACGAAAACAAGAACATTTGCTGGGTTATGTCCAGACGTATAGTTTCATTCTTGACTCATTTTGAATGGCTATAAATTACTGGTAATTTATTTATATTTAATAGTACTAATACAATAGTTTGATTAGTTTAAAATTACAAGTTTAAATCATTTTAGATTTTTGTTCTAATTTTTTAAATTTAATTGAAGATGAAATAAGTGATGAATTTTTAATTTGTTTAAATTTAAAATATTACTTAAAATATTTTTATTGTAAACAAATTTTTTGTGAAAGACTTCTAAATTTTTCAAAAAAGTCGATAGTCGTAATCCGATTTATAAAACCCAACTGTAGAATACAAGTAGTGTGGCAGCATCGTTTAGCAAATAATGGACTGTTTTAAATTTCTAGTCTATAGTCTAGTCTAGTCTATAGTCTAGTCTAGTCTATAGTCTAGTCTATAGTCTAGTCTAGTCTATAGTCTAGTCTATAGTCTAGTCTATAGTCTAGTCTATAGTCTAGTCTATAGTCTAGTCTATAGTCTAGTCTTTAGTCTAGTCTATAGTCTAGTCTATAGTCTAGTCTATAGTCTAGTCTATAGTCTAGTCTATAGTCTAGTCTATAGTCTAGTCTATAGTCTAGTCTATAGTCTAGTCTATGGTCTAGTCTATAGTCTAGTCTATAGTCTAGTCTATAGTCTAGTCTATAGTCTAGTCTATAGTCTAGTCTATAGTCTAGTCTATAGTCTAGTCTATAGTCTAGTCTATAGTCTAGTCTATAGTCTAGTCTATAGTCTAGTCTATAGTCTAGTCTATAGTCTAGTCTATAGTCTAGTCTATAGTCTAGTCTATAGTCTAGTCTATAGTCTATCTAGTCTATAGTCTAGTCTATAGTCTAGTCTATAGTCTAGTCTATAGTCTAGTCTATAGTCTAGTCTATAGTCTAGTCTATAGTCTAGTCTATAGTCTAGTCTATAGTCTAGTCTATAGTCTAGTCTATAGTCTAGTCTATAGTCTAGTCTATAGTCTAGTCTATAGTCTAGTCTATAGTCTAGTCTATAGTCTAGTCTATAGTCTAGTCTATAGTCTAGTCTAGTCTAGTCTATAGTCTGTATAGTCTAGTCTAGTCTAGTCTATAGTCTAGTCTATAGTCTAGTCTATAGTCTAGTCTATAGTCTAGTCTATAGTCTAGTCTATAGTCTAGTCTATAGTCTAGTCTATAGTCTAGTCTATAGTCTAGTCTATATTCTAGTCTATAGTCTAGTCTATAGTCTAGTCTATAGTCTGTCTATAGTCTAGTCTATAGTCTAGTCTATAGTCTAGTCTATAGTCTAGTCTATAGTCTAGTCTATAGTCTAGTCTATAGTCTAGTCTATAGTCTAGTCTATAGTCTAGTCTATAGTCTAGTCTATAGTCTAGTCTATAGTCTAGTCTATAGTCGATGTCTATAGTCTAGTCTATAGTCTAGTCTATAGTCTAGTCTATAGTCTAGTCTATAGTCTAGTCTATAGTCTGTCTATAGTCTAGTTATAGTCTAGTCTATAGTCTAGTCTATAGTCTAGTCTATAGTCTAGTCTATAGTCTAGTCTATAGTCTAGTCTATAGTCTAGTCTATAGTCTAGTCTATAGTCTAGTCTATAGTCTAGTCTATAGTCTAGTCTATAGTCTAGTCTATAGTCTAGTCTATAGTCTAGTCTATAGTCTAGTCTATAGTCTAGTCTATAGTCTAGTCTATAGTCTTGTCTATAGTCTAGTCTATAGTCTAGTCTATAGTCTAGTCTATAGTCTAGTCTATAGTCTAGTCTATAGTCTAGTCTATGGTCTAGTCTATAGTCTAGTCTATAGTCTAGTCTATAGTCTAGTCTATAGTCTAGTCTATAGTCTAGTCTATAGTCTAGTCTATAGTCTAGTCTATAGTCTAGTCTATAGTCTAGTCTATAGTCTAGTCTATAGTCTAGTCTATAGTCTAGTCTATAGTCTAGTCTATAGTCTAGTCTATAGTCTAGTCTATAGTCTAGTCTATAGTCTTGTCTATAGTCTAGTCTATAGTCTAGTCTATAGTCTAGTCTATAGTCTAGTCTATAGTCTAGTCTATAGTCTAGTCTATAGTCTAGTCTATAGTCTAGTCTATAGTCTAGTCTATAGTCTAGTCTATAGTCTAGTCTATAGTCTAGTCTATAGTCTAGTCTATAGTCTAGTCTATAGTCTAGTCTATAGTCTAGTCTATAGTCTAGTCTATAGTCTAGTCTATAGTCTAGTCTATAGTCTAGTCTATAGTCTAGTCTATAGTCTAGTCTATAGTCTAGTCTATAGTCTAGTCTATAGTCTAGTCTATAGTCTAGTCTATAGTCTAGTCTATAGTCTAGTCTATAGTCTAGTCTATAGTCTAGTCTATAGTCTAGTCTATAGTCTAGTCTATAGTCTAGTCTATAGTCTAGTCTATAGTCTAGTCTATAGTCTAGTCTATAGTCTAGTCCTATAGTCTAGTCTATAGTCTAGTCTATAGTCTATAGTCTAGTCTATAGTCTAGTCTATAGTCTAGTCTATAGTCCAGTATATAGTCTAGTCTATAGTCTAGTCTATAGTCTAGTCTATAGTCTAGTCTATAGTCTACAGTCTATTATATAGTCTAGTATTAACATACTACATATAGTCCATGCCTGAGATATGTAGATAGAAAATATTCGTAGACATGGTGAAAGACTTGTTAATGCTAGCAGAGAGCCATACAATGAAAATCACTATAAGTCTTCACAAAGTAGTACCGAATGGCATTTTCGAATAGATTAGGACCCAAATTATGTGGGATGTGCTTATTTCCTTAAATATTTAATAATATGAAATATTTAAATATGAACTAGACTATAGTCTAGTCTATAGTCTAGCCTATAGTCTAGTCTATAGTCTAGTCTATAGTCTAGTCTATAGTCTAGTCTATAGTCTAGTCTATAGTCTAGTCTGTAGTCTAGTCAATAGTCTAGTCTATAGTCTAGTCTATAGTCTAGTCTATAGTCTAGTCTATAGTCTAGTCTATAGTCTAGTCTATAGTCTAGTCTATAGTCTAGTCTATAGTCTAGTCTATAGTCTAGTCTATAGTCTAGTCTATAGTCTAGTCTATAGTCTAGTCTAGTCTATAGTCTAGTCTAGTCTATAGTCTAGTCTATAGTCTAGTCTAGCCTATAGGCTAGACTAGTCTAGTCTAGCCTATAGGCTAGTCTATAGTCTAGTCTAGCCTATAGGCTAGTCTATAGTCTAGTCTAGTCTATAGTCTAGTCTAGTCTATAGTCTAGTCTAGCCTATAGGCTAGTCTATAGTCTAGTCTAGCCTATAGGCTAGTCTATAGTCTAGTCTATAGTCTAGTCTACAGTCTATTATATAGTCTAGTATTTACATACTACATATAGTCCATGCCTGAGATATGTAGATAGAAAATATTCGTAGACATGGTGAACGACTTGTTAATGCTAGCAGAGAGCCATACAGTGAAAATCACTATAAGTCTTCACAAAGTAGTACCGAATGGCATTTTCGAATAGATTAGGACCCAAATTATGTGGGATGTGCTTATTTCCTTAAATATTTAATAATATGAACGGCTAATTTGGGCAAATAATTAAACCGATTCTGTTTACTCTATATCTAAAATTATTTCCCAAACTGTTTTATTTGATTTTTGAACATTTATGCAAAAAGAAAAATAAACTAAAATGAAAACAAATTAGCATTTTATGCATTTTAATTTTGAAATGTGGACAAAACAAAAGCCCCTCAAAAACAACAACAATCATAATAAATAAGAAAAACCAAAAACAAAAAAAAACACACACACACACAAAACAATTAAAAAATAGCAAAATATAGGAAAAATACGTAAATAAATAAAATATTTAAAAATAGTTCAGTTTTATAAAATAATGTTTAAATAAGTAGTAGATAGGAGGAGAAAGAGAAAGAAAAACACACACAAGAAGTGAACAAGTGACGTTTTAATTGTTATTGTTTTAAAACAACAAAAAAACACATGTGTAAATAACAGTACTTATATATAAACAAACAAAATGGCAAATTATTATTGCGTTTTTTTCGACAATGTAAATTTTAGCAGGAGGAAGGTTTTATTTTGTGGCAATTATAGACCCAATTAAAAGTTTTAATAGACGGTATTTTATTAAAGAAATACAAATGATT